GTGCAGTCAGATACTGAAGTATTCAAATGAGGGAACCCTTTCCCTGCAACCCCCACGCTACTGCGAGGAAAAGACACTCCTCCGAAAAAGGAGCCTCTCTCTCTCTCTCTCTCTCTCTCTCCCCTAAATCCCCTGATCGGGCTGCCAGCCCCCCTCTGAACATGCCCTCCTTCAGACGCACAATCTGAGCCTGTTCATGTCATGACACGGAGCAGCGCAGGACCGAAGAGGTCGAATCCTGCAAACACCTTGGATCTCTGCAGATGCCTCTTCTCCTGAGTCTCCAGCCTGGTTCTTTCTGAAATATGCAATGTTCGCTGGGCTGCTCGGCTCTCTTTCAGCTGCACTTTGTTTTCATGCTGGCAGCGAGCCACGATGAGCCATCCGGCAGATTCCTCTCCTTTTCCTCTGCTCAAGGTCCGTGCGTTTGCAGGAACGGAAAACAAACGTTTATGCGCAAATTTCTGCGGGGTGCATGAATAAAAAGAAATAACTTTCTCTCTACTCCTCTGTAGGTCACTCCTCCCCGTCAGGCTCAGGTCCCTCCATCGTCCACCCTGTGAGAATCAGCGCTGATGGGGAGTTTGTCTCCCACTCCTTGTCTCACCATTTCAGGAGAGTCAGGCGTGAGCTGCGGTCCGTCTCTCCAGAGGAACAGGTCTATTACAAGCTCAGTTACAATGGCCAAACTTTAACATTCAATTTGACCAGAAACAACCACCTACTGTCAACCGAATACATCATTGAGAGGAGAAGGAATGGCATTTCCAACAGGACTGAGCATGATCAGACAGAGGGTAACTCCTGCCACCTCCTGGGCACAGTGGAAGCCCCTGGTGTTAAAGGAACGGCTGCCATCAGCACCTGCAAAGGACTGGTAGGAGATATTTTCATTTTATTGACCCTACAGAGTGAGTGGTAAATCTCTGTGTCATTCATTAGATGAGATTATGGTCTGGTTAGTTCTATTCTGAGAAACATCAGTTACCTTTAGCAAAATTATGCAATTGTCTAGAATCAATGACAGTTATACAGAGTTACTGTTGAGGCAATAGAAAGCCAAATGAAATTGCAGCTTGATCCTTACTGCACAGATATTAGCTTCTATTGTTTTCCTGATCTTGCTGTGATAGCAGGAATTTCAAATTTCAAAATGCACCTCCAGGACCAATTGTGGCCCTTATAAATGTTTTTTTTTTTTTTTTTTTTTTTT